AGTACCAGCCTTCAAGTGTATCTCAATATTACATACCAAGCCTGGCAAAGGGATCTGCCCCTTTAGGTGACATTTTTTGGATGTGTCACAATAAGTCACTGATGTTAACCACACTACCCCCTCAGTGGGAAGGCATCTGTGCACCAGTAATGATGACAGGACAACTGAAGCTAATAGTAAATAACCCAATAGGCATTAACGAAACATCTAATGAGATACCCAACCGCGTTAAAAGAAGTACTCCCATTAAACACGAGTGGAAAACATCAGATGAGGTATATATCTCCTGGGATCAGATCCCCTATGGGGTACCTGAAGAACAGGCTGCCCTAGAGGTTGGCTGGATAGAAAGCGGAAGAGTGGCGGGTTCAGTACCTATCTTTGGAACGGTTGTCAATGCGCAGTATATAGCTCGCAATAGTAGATGGGTTAATCTCCTATGGTATAATCAACAACGGTTTATAAATTTTACAATAAAGGGCATGGATTTAGTGAAGGAACAATTGCATGCTACTTCACTAATGGTTCTGCAAAATAGGTTCGTGCTGGAATCCCGCATGGCTGGGGACCAAGGAATATGTGATTATATAGGAGAAGATTGTTGTACTTTAATTCCCATGCACACAGATGTTAACGGCAGCCTCACGGGAGTCCTACAGAAAATGAAAAGCATGAGAGATGAACATGTGCTGCAGTCCAATTGGAACACTCAGTTAAAGGGCTTCTGGGATTGGGTCAATAAGCTTGGATGGGGAAAATATCTTAAGGCAGCAGGGATAATTCTAGGAGCAATAATACTGATCATAATGATAGTTATTTGTTGCATCATACCCCTTGTTCGGGGACTGGTCTCAAGACTTGTTGTAAGTGTTACGGGTCAGTTCCCGGTTGTAGAGATACAATTGGACTAAGTAATGTAGACCATAGCCATGATCACATCCCACCCTCACCAGGTACGTGCATTTCTTTAATAACAAACTTGTATATATACTAAATTGCCTAACAATGACTCGCATACTTACTCACGTAAATAAAGTAATTTGCATGCTGAATTATCTATAGATTTAGGAGATAACATGCCTTATGACCATATCTGAATATGCCCCATTATGTCTCCAAATGCAGATTAATTGACAATGGAGAGAACTTATGAGGAAGGTTATTACCCCAAGGAATGGCTAGAGAACAATAGAGAGAGATACTTCACACAGGCGTCGGTAGACACACAAGTAGAGGAGGCCGCAGGCTCTAATATTCCTAACAGGCAGCCAGAAGATCCTGCAGGGGGGCCAGGCATCGCACCTTCAGGTTGGAACAAACCTATGATGACACCCAGAAGGCAGCCAGATGATCAACCACCATCACCTACAGGGAAGCCACTGTCCAACCCACAATCGCCTGAGGACCTACAGATCAACGTTGAGACCGAACCTAGCAACATCCCAACCAACCCGGAGGATGGGCGCCACCGCGCTGGACCATTTCTGGCGATACCATCCACATCAGGCGGGCCGCCTACCTACTACGACATGACGGCTCCTGCTCCGTACCCAGGGAATGGCGAGGTCTTCGCGGGCATGAATATCAGCACATCGGACTATATTCACCTCAGAGGCTTTTTCGCTCATCCCATGCATACCTATCGCTCTGTCAACGACCTAGTGCCAGAGATCACCTCTATGTCAACAGAGGTGTATTCACAAATGATGAGGGGTATGGAGTACCTGCAATCTAAGGTTCCACTATAGGCACTCCGTCGCGCCTCATACAAATTCAAGGCGACAAAGAAGATGCAGCATATGACCCAAGAAAATCAGGAACTGAAACTTCAACTTCAGGAGGCATGCACCACCATAATCACCCTGCAGGAAAAGTTGCTGCAGCTGACTGAGCGACTGGCCGCATTGAAGCCCTAAATCTCATTAATCTCACCCATGGCATCACACTGGATATAAAGGACAATGCTGATTATTGATGATTATGCATACCTATGCTAAAAATATTGGTATAATTGTATACTTCATGTGACAGTACAAGTACTGTGCAGGAGAGTGCCACATGGTTACTCCTATGTTGGTTGTAATGACGGTCCATTGACCATTGGATGATGTGTTTGCCTGGCATAGTCCTGGCCTGATGAAGCTTTTCTTGGTTTATTTATGGGTGTGTATGGACACCCATGCAGAGGAGGATGCAGTGACCTCGTAACACAAGATGCTGCTTGGGCATTGGTATTTGCCTCTGCTGAGAAAACAGAATTAGAAACTCTTTCTACAAAAAAAGTAAGCAATGAGGACAGATCCTCTTAAGTGAGCCAAGAGGGGGATCCCTCTTTGTTTTTGTACATTCTGCCTTCCGCATTTCATCATTTTTAACATGTACTCGAACTCCACAACGTCTTATATTACTCACTTCAACTATATGGTGTGTGTTTAGTCTCACGTTTGGTTTGGTGTGCACAATATATAAACATCTGTCACTTGTGTAAGTTCACATTTAAGGGTATTTTATGTTAGTCATCACCTGCACAATCACTGAGTTGATCCTTTTTAGGATCAAAGGGGGGAAATGTAGTGTATTAATCTGCACCAATGATTAGAATAAAATAGAATTTATGTTTTATAAGTTTAAAGAGTTGTTTTCACAAATACATTTATAAAAAACCTTCCAAGGCCAAAGTGAGAGAAGCAGAGCAGTGTGTGTATGACTGCCTTCCAAGGCCAAAGTGAGAGAAGCAGAGCAGTGTGTGTGCGTGTGACTCTGCACCTGGCCCTTTGAAGTTTGGACCCAGAGAAATCTGCAGGAATACAGAGTTGAGGCCTTTTAGAGATAGAAGCACTCTCATTAAAAATGAGTTATTTGTCATATCAAGGTTGCCCAGCTCAGCTAAGTTTAGCCAAACTAATTGTGATGAATTGAGTTGTCATCTTCAAAACACACTGTGCAGTACTGGTCATAGAAAAGGGTGATGCTTTGCTGGGACATGGAACACACATGGAACACCAGAGTTATGCTGACCTGGCTTGAAGTAATACTATGGTCTTAGATCACATTGGAAGAAAGGCTTAGCTTTGACATATTATTGATTAAATTGTCATAAGTTTCTGATTTAAGTGCACCAGATGTCATCATGACCTGTGAGATTGCTCTCAAAGAAATATTATAATCATAAGTTACATTGGATGAAAGCTTTGTTTTGAAAGGTTGATAATTAAGAATATGATGTGTCTATGATATAGTAGCAATAAATGTCATCATGATTTGCAAAGAAATGTCACCATAACCTGTAACAAAGAGTGTTGATTAAATATATAAGAAATATGCTTTGAAAGGGGTTTTCCACCGATAAGATAAAAATAATTGGTCTTACCCGTAGAAAAACACCTGAAATGATGTAAACAAAGGAGGGGCTTGGGGGAGGAGCCCCAAGCCCAATGAAATGTATAAAAGAGGGCTGTTTTCACCATTTGTTCAGTTGCTCACCGGTGACCAGCTCCGTGTGGTTGTGCTGTGTTTTGCAATAAAACACCTTGGACTTGGATTCAGCTGCTTCTGCCTGATTTTTGGATCATTGTTTGAAGACTTTTCTGCCTTTTAAGAACTTTGAATTTTTATAAAACTTAGCTTCAATTTTAAGTCGCTGGAAGAGGTTTTCCCACGACACTCTTATAGTAAAAAGAACGTCCATCAAATTATAGATGAACACGAGAGTACGCCGAGGCTGCAATCATTTTAGTGTCATCAGTTGTCATCATGTAAAATGTTGGTAACTGTTGGATGGTTAATTGATGAAGATCTTTTAAAAGTTTTTTCTTTTTCCAAGGTAATTATTCCTCTGATTAAAACCTGGATAGATCTGGAGGATTTAGGAAAAAAACATGTTTAACTTAAACTGTAAAAAGTGTCAGTAAAATATACAGGAAAACACATCAAATAGCAAGACTGTGAAAGAAAAAGCTGTCCTTTACTTTATTAAATGCGTTATATAACAACAATAAAATTCCCAATGATTCACTGTGAAAATTAATGAATATGCATACATTTGAAAATAAATTGCAGCACAGATAAAAACTTCCAAAAAACTTTTTATAGTGTTACTTGGATACAGGTTATTGTGTTCTGCACATTCATATTTACAGGAAATATCTGATTGTGAAGCAAACATAAAGTAAAATTTTTTACAGAAGCAAACTGGTTAAAAATATAGTCCACTATAAAAAATGCCAACAGTGCAGTATTGTAAAATAGCTGAAATATCAGCCGTAAAAGGCAATAAAGAAATTATTAACCTTTGTAATAGAAAACATTTGATTTTCGCTAATGACAAGATTTTAAAGTAAACAAATTGCACTATTTGTTTTTAATGCCTCTTAATATTCTGTTTCAGTCTTTAAGAAAATTTAAAAATAGAGTATCAGAGTAGAAAGAAAAAGTAAATTCAAAGTTGAAATTTTTTTCTTAAAACTGTAAATGTAGATAACGATTTGCAAAAGCTGCATTTATTTTGTGACATTCTTTGGTCCACTTGCCTTTTACTTGTGCTACAGGAATTTTGATATGCATTGCAAGCTCGTATGCAGAATGACCCATATACTAGAGGGCTCCCAAGACCATCTTTTTTTTTTTTCATTTTTGCACAATAAGCTGTAATTTCTACATGATTATATATAATGTAAAATATGCACATCATAAATCTTTGTTGTAATTGCTATAACTAAATAAAAAACATTATGTATGCATGCAAAAAAGAAAAAAAAAACAATAACTGTTCTTTGGCGCTTAGATCTTATGTAGCCGCTAAGTTTGCTTCTACCTTGGGCCAGCCCTTTATCTGCAGATTCCAATAGAAGCAACCAAATTTCACAATTTTGAATCACCTTTGGTGCGTCCACCTTAAATCTAGAGTTAGTGTGATGGTTGATGATTTACAGCTGAACAGCTGTTTTACTATTTGACATCACATTACATGTCTTTTACTGTGACAGTTTCAATTGCAGAACACTCAAAGAAAAACAGATTTTCCCTGGAGCTTGCCCATAGAAAGAGACAGCCGTCATCTTTTCTTCACCATGTTAACTGACTGCAGTCGCTGAGCTGGTGCCACCATTGTAGTGAAGCAAAAATATTTGTAGTCTGACGGTTTCCTCACCTGGACTGCCTAAAACGAATACCTGAGGTTAGTAAATCTGTCCAGTTAGAGTAGTTTAGATGCGATTCTAATTTAATAATTTCTTGGAGTTTGCTAGGTTTGTTGACTAATTTTATCAGCTTTATAGAAAACAGTAAAGTTTTGACCAAGAATTAAATTCTTAGGAATTTATTCCTGAGTGTGTGTATAGTTAGCTTATTGGATGACATGTTGAGGTGTAATTTCTCTGGAAAGGTGGAATAGTCATCAAGGGGCTATGTGCTTCACTGCAACTAGCTTTATATTAATGAGTCACGTTGTGTCTCTAAGTGCAGTGAAACTGACTGCAAGAAACCATTTAGTAGATTTAAAGCATTTAAGACAATTTTGTTTTTAAACATAAAGGTATGGGACATTACAAGTGTTGTCAGAAAATTTAGATTTCTCTTATTTCATTTCTTAATGTATCCTAGTTACTCACTATAAAAGGTTTCACTCAGTCTCTTTCACCTGCAAGGCCACAAAATGCGTGAGGGTGTTTGTAGACAAGACATAGCTTCTTCCTGTCAGGGTTTGTTTGAGCTTTGAGGACCCAAATGCAGAGAGGCAGAGGTGAGTTTTGTAGATTTAATGATATATTCACAAACAACTGAGGCAGCAATCCAAAAATCCAACATGAAAAATGTGAAACAAAACCAGAACTATGGAGACATCAGGGGAAAACAATCACGAGGAGCCAGGGTAAGACGAGGAACCAGTACTGAGAAACTGCACAAAGTATTTATGGTACAAAGAGAGGACCAATGAGCAGACTGGGAGCAGATGGAAAGAGAGCAGTCTAGGAAGGAGCTAGGGAAAAGGAGACCAACACAAGAGGGTGACAAATAAAAACTGAAGAACTCAAATATATCCAGAAAATACAACAAAAAGAAATTAAACCAATAAAACATGGAGCAAAGTAAAACATTAAAGAAGCAAACCACACAGTACCACCACTTAAGGGTGGATTTCAGACACTCTAAAATGTCCAAACTAACAAAACAACAAAAACAACCCACCCAGGGTGGCAAGGGGAACCAGGAAGGAGGGCAAGAAACCAAAAAACTGAGTCCAAAAAACAAAACAACCAACCAAAGGTGGGTGAAGGAACCGAAAGTCTCTGGAGGCCGGCCTTGGGGCCGGCGATGAGGCAGGGCCCCTGGAGGCCGGCCATGGGGCCGGAGACGAGGCAGGGCCCCTGGAGGATGGCGTCTCTGACGCACGAGCCCTGGAGGACGCCATATTTGCTGTAGGAGCCCTGGAGGATGCCGTCTCTGCTGAACCTCGCAGGGGGCCACCGACGGCGGCTCTAGAACCCACGAAGAGGCAGTGCAGCTTGGGACCCACGAAGAGGCGGTGGAGCGTCCGCCGAGGGGCCTTGGAGGCGTGGAGCACCTGCTGGAGCATCTGGACTCTGGGTCTCTGGATGGCACAGAGTGTGCTCAGGGGTCACTGGACGGCACAGAGCATGCTCAGGGGTCTCTGGACGGAACAGAGTGTGCTTGCAGAGGGGTTCAGTCTGAGGAGGAACGCTGAGTTGGTCTGTCTGAGGAGGAGAGCTGAGTGGATCCGCCTGAGGAGCGGGGATGCTAATCGGTTCTATATCAGGGACTGGCAAGCTAGGGGATTCTGGTTTGGGGACTGGCATGCTAGGTGGTTCTGGCTCAGGTTCTTGCCCGCCAATGGGCTCTGGCCTGCTAAAGGGCTCTCGCTCGGAAAATGCTTGCTGGCAGAGAGCTAATGAAGGTGGAAGGAAAGTGAAAAGATATTCCTTCTCCCCATAGATGAAGTCCCAGTGATGAGACTCAAGATGTGGGGCTCTGACTCCAGGGGATGTGGTCTGAGAACCTGGTTTGAGCTTTCTTATAGATGAGGCTAGCTGCTGGTCATGGAGGTGATGAAAGAGACTATGGGGAAAACTGACCTGTTTAGGAGGTGAGCTCAGGCTAGCAGCTGGCTGACCCATGGGAGTGGTGGCTGACCTACCGCAGAAGAATTGGAGGCGTCAGGCTGACCCGCGGGGGGAGGTGGAGGCATCAGGATGACCCGCTGGAGGGGGAGTGGAGGCATCAGGCTGACCCAATGGAGAAGGAGTGGTCTTCTTCCCCCGGTGAAGCTTACGCCTGAAGGAAGCAGATGGCAGAGGAGGACCAACAGCTGGAGATGGTGGAGGTACAGGATTGGAGGTGATTGACTGCTGAGTTGGAACGTGACAGAGTGAGGGTTTAGGTGGTGGAGGTTTGGAGTTTTGGATACTTTTGAAGTTTTTTTAGTACTTCTTCTGCAGCCCCCACACGCTGCCAAGGTGGAGAGATAGTGGAAAGGCAGTCTATTGTTTGTATAAGAAGTTTTTAAAATTCACTTGCCTTATCCTTAGGCAGCTCTGCTGGGCCCATGTTGGCTGGTTCCTTCTGTCAGGGTTTGGTTGAGGTTTGAGGACCCAGATGCAGAGGCAGGGAGGCAGAGGTGACTTTTTGAAGATTTAATGAAATGTTCACAAAATATTTGTGAACATTTGTAAATATTTGTTTATTCACTCTACCTTGCTAACTGTCCTTGTTGTAATGCAAATAACCTGTGATAGGACCAGCCCTTCTACATGAGACTAGATAAAGGCATTGTTATTATAAGACATCAGACCTTTTTGCATGAATATCTTGATATGGCAAATCTATATCTTTTATTTAGGCAAACCTATTGAACAACCAGATATCATACGGGTCCTAGTTCCTGAGTTGAAAACAGATCATAACCATGCTTTTCCAACAAGGCAAGGAAGAGCCTATTTATATTGTCCAATAACCAACAGACCCATTTATATTGCAAAGCTCACTGTGTAAAAAAAAAAAGATAGAGAATAATTGTATTTTGTCTGTTCTCACCTTTTCACGTCATTCAACATTTCAGCTTAGAGAATGACAACAGTATGATTTCACTATAGCAGTAAAATTTATTTCACCAAAAAAAAGCACTACATATGAAGCTACAATTGTCCCATTTAGCAGTTTTTACAAATCCAAGGTGAGTCCTGCCTGCATTAGTGACAGTTATACTTTGTGCAGTGCACACAGTGCTGTGGTTCCTGTTGCAGAGATTGCACACCTGGGGCGCTTCAAAGTTTAACTTTGAGGGACGGCAGCAGAATACGCCATAAGATGTTCTGATTCTTAGGTCAGAGGTGACGAGGTTTTCAGAGAGATCTCCCTATTATCCCAGGTTGGCTTACAGCGGAATAGTAATTTGTTTGTTGTTTATTGACTAGGGTTAAATTACCTTTGGAT